TATTGTATTTTTGGCCTCAAACTACTAATTAAACAAAAATCATACAAGAAAAATTTTGGTGCTGGTCCCTTCGAATAATTTTGGACAAAAGCCGTGTGCTAACAATCAGATTATCATACGATCACTTCAAAAGCGGTATTTTTGATACGATTTTCTGATGGTGTGTACTAAGCTTAAGAAAACAGACAGAAGAGCTGGCGTTCCCAAAGCCCCACGTTTACAGATACAGTAGATGGTGTTCTCCGAATGCCCAGCTAAAAGACTGATAAGTTGATGTTCTCAGAACCTCAAAATAACAGACAGAGGAGATGGTGTTCTCTGAACCCTAATATTAATAGATTAGAACCCCAAGATAACAGAGTTAATTGCATTCACAGAACCCCAAGTTAAGAGATAAAGGAGACATTGGGGTTTATTTACGAAAGCTGGTTCACTCAGAATCTTGTGCACTTTTACATAGAAACCAATCAGCTTCCAGGTTTTATTGCTGAAGCTTAACTGAACAAGCTGAGGTTAGAAGCTGATTGGCTGCCATGCACAGGTGTACCAGATTCTGAGTGAACCATCCTTAAGGTGGGAATACACGTTTAGAAAATCAACCGATCGGTCATCCGACGACTGAGAGGCGTTCGTTTGTTGGTCGAAATGGTGGCCCACATTAACCAATCTAAAAAAATTGTTGGTCGGCCAATGCGTAGTGTTGACGTCTTCCGTACAAGTGGAAGTGATGCGGTGTGCATGTGACCTTGTAGCCACGCCCATCCGGCCAGAACGAGCGATATACACAATTACCAGCAATGAGTATAATATTGTTTATTACATGAGCTCTGAGGAAGGGGGTTTAGCTCCCGAAACGCGTTAGCCTATCTGCATCATTAGATACAGATGCATTGTGACTGTCTTTGTGGACCACTTTTATCGCGTTGGCTTGTGAGTATATATCCTCTTTTCATTTAATAAATACGTGTTATACCACGGTGATGCACGATGAGAGTGCGCCCTTGTTTGTTCTTTTCCATTGTTTATTGCATGACCTATATACATAAATAGTGATAAATAAAATATAATCTGCAGAATACTGGTTTCATTATCTCATTAGGCCAGTCTACCAATGCATAGAAAATTGGTCGTTCATATGCAAAATTACAAAATTTTTCACTGTTGCTCAACCGGATTTTTTCATTCACAATATCATTATCGGTTAAAACATCCTGCTCATCAACGAAGAGAAAATCGTTTGATCAGTGGTTCCGCAAAATTTTTCGTATGATTTTCTTATCATGTGTATGGGGCATTAGTAAACAAACTCCATTGTTCTTAGGAACCCAAGTTAACAGAGTAGATGGTGTTCCCAAGGGTTAAGGGTTTAGGCAACTGTACTACATGAGAAGGCCCAGTGTGCTACGGCATTGAAGAGAAGAGAAGTTCTGGGCTGGTAGACTGTGTCCCATATGCATTACAAAGCCACATTTTTAGATTTAGTTGAAGTAAGTGTACTGCTAAACTGTGCTCTCAGGTCAACCAACATTATGTATATCACATTCATTGTTACATCTGTTAATATGGGAAGCTATTAGATGATTTAACTCCCAGCATAACCAGAATATTAGAGGTTGGGTGGACTAACCCTTTATGCTCCACAGTAAGAGAATTATGTTACTTGCGAGTGACGGTGCAACCAATTATGGTTCTAGGTGCAGATGAGCTCGGGGACCTGGACTCTTTCATTGACCAGACCTTCAGTGGAATCACATTTAACAGGCAATCTCAGGTGAAGAAGGTGGTATCACAAAGAAGTCAAGACAAAGGTAAGTGTGAAGACAGCTGGTATGAACCTTAAAGTAGAACTATAGGCAACACTTTTGGTTTAATTTTGAATAGTGTAAGGGAGGGTTATCACCTCTGTCAGATTTTTTTTGCTATGTCCCTTTGTGAATATTTCCCTTCTCATCCTATTCCATAGCCAAACAGTAAGTGAGGGGAAATACCTGCAACCTAAAGGGAATTCCTTGGAGACCCCAGGGTCACCAGAACTAGTGTCCCCGTTGGAAGATTTCCCCTCTATTACATTTCTGGGGACCATCCAAAATGTGGACTTTTCTTTTACTTTCTCTTTCAATGATAATGGTAAACAGGACAAATAGAGAGGATGGATCTCCCTAAAGGGGGGCACAGACAGCAATAACAATTGTCAAGCATTCTGATCCCTTTCCACTAAAAAAAGTTTTGCCTTTAGTTATACTTTAATATATAACCAATAAGAAAAATGTTTGAAAATGCAAGCTTGAATTCTAGGTTTCTATGGGGAGCAAACAAATCCCTCTTCTACATATCCCCGATTTACTGGGTTGTGAGTTCTTGGCTGCTAATTGTACCTCCAAGGAGGCCATGGTTGAGTGTAACTAGACCGTTCATTCCTGGATCAGCGACCTGCAGCCTCATGGAGATATGGTCATTAGTGGAGGAAGCCTCCATAAGAGGGTACTATTGGAGGATGGGTTAAGGGCACTGAATTGGGATGAATCAGTATATTGTCTCCAAGTATCTTTCATAAATAAATTAAGATGTACAGAGATCCAAGGAGGCTGCAGACCATGCTGCAAAAAAAAAAAAAAAAAAAATTAGAAGCACTCCACTTTCACTTTAACAGATGGCTTGTCCAGTGCATTTCTTATTGAACTCATTGAAGGCCTGACACTTATAAACCTATTAACAGAGAGCAGACCTGATCCCCTTCCAATATTTTCCCATCTTCAACACATGTCACCCGGTGTAATATTGCTTTATAAAGGCAATTTATAGGGTGTTCACGTTCTAAGATAAACACTGACTTAGACACCCATAAACACATCACTCTCAATAATTATCTTGTATTTGCAATTTTATTTCAGCTCGTAAATATTAGGGACTTATTTTCACAAGCTAACATAAAAGAAAAATAGAGGTGTTACCAAACCCATCAGTTCTCTGCTGAGCGCAGAAATAAAGATCAAGAGTTGTGTATTTGTGATGGTCTCCTTGGAATGATTGAGGGACATGGGGATACTCTGATTAAAAAGGGGTTTAGAAACCCAAGTGATGGAAAAAAGACAGTAGATTGGGTCAGAGACTGCAGGTGCGTGGACAATGTACCAAATTGTTGCCTGGTGCAGTCTACTTTCTCTCACTGCAAGTGGCGCTCAACCACAGTGTCATTGCAGAGGGAGAGGAAGTCAGAATGAACATGGTTCCTCTATGGCAGGGGTATTGAATTAAAATTCAAGGAGGTCAGGTCACTAAAATTTTCAGAAGGAACATGGCTCCTCTATGGTTTCCTGAGTCACCGGGGAAGCTATCCAGTTGGATGCTTCCACCCCATGTGACTCTGGTGGCCATCTTGGGTCAAGCAGAGTCAATTGAAAAACCTGGCTCCCGTGTTTGGTGCGTGTGGGTAGTGTAGGGACAGTAATTAGCAGCAGGGTGAGGGTTCCTAATGAGTAGGGAAAGTGCAGGGACACACCATGCTTCCTGGAAGCCTTCCCGATTTGGTATGGACTGGCCAGGACACATTCCACCCTTTAAGATAGAGGTGCTCCCAATGCCTTCTATTTTATGCTTTGTTACAACATTTTGTGAGTGCACCCGATCGGGTTGTCTCTCCACTGGATAGATCTGCCTGTTTGAACTTTAACTTCAATACAGTTCTGTTACTGCAACTGGACTCTGCGTGTTTACTGCCTCCTCACCACAAAATTATGGTGGGGGACTGTTGGTTTGGTTTGTGGCCTTTCTTGAACAATATGTAGCAGTTGATGGCTACAGGCATCTGGACTTGCAAATCATTCATCCTAATCCACTCACTCTATCACATGTAAGGTGTCAAGGCAAATGTTGACTGTCCAAGAACATGATGGGAGGTGGAGAAATTGCAACATCACCCTATGCGTTTTCCACAGTCCCATCCCATGGTGTCATGAAGTCTAAGACTGATATCAGTCCCTAGCCCTCAAGGAGTGTACAATCTAAGGTCCCTAACTCACATTCATACACATACTAGGGCCAATCTACCTACCAGCATGTCTTTGGAGTGTAGGAGGAACCAGAGCACCCAGATTAAACCCATGCAGGCACAGGGAGAGCATGCAAACTCCAGGCAGGTGGTACCTTGGTTGAGATCCGAACCCATGACCCTAGTGCTGCTAGGTAGAAGTGCTAACTACTTAGCCACTATGCTACCTTGTTTAGTTGTCAGAATTAAATGCCTGAAGATGAGAATTGTCATCAAATTGCAGGGGCAGAGACTGTTAGTGGATTACTAGATTCAAGAAATAGTGTCGCCGTTGGAAGATTTCCCATCTATTAAATTTCTGGGGACCATCCAAAATTTGGGCTTTTCTTTTACTTTCTCATTCAATGATAATGGTAAACAGGACTAATAGAGAGGGTGAATCTCCCTAAAGGGGGGCACAGACAGCAATAACAATTGACAAGCATTCTGATCCCTTTCCACTAAAAAAGGTTTTGCTTTTAGTTATACTTTAATATATAACCAATAATAAAAATGTTTGAAAATCCAAGCTTGAATTCTAGGTTTCTATGGGGAGCAAACAAATCCCTCTTCTACTTATCCCTGATTTACTGGGTTGTGAGCTCTTGGCTGCTAATTGTACCTCCAAGGAGGCCATGGTTGGGTGTAACTAGACCATTAATTCCTGTTTCAGTGACCTGCCTTATGGAGATATGGTCATTAGTGGAGGAAGCCTCCATTAGAGGGTACTGTTGGAGGTTGGGTTAAGGGCACTGAATTGGGATGAATGAGTATATTGTCTCCAAGTAGCTTCCAAAAGTAAAGTAAGATATAAAGAGACCCAAGGAGGCTGCAGACCATGCTGCAAAAAAAAAAAAAAAAAATTAGAAGCGCTCCACTTTCACTTTAATAGATGGCTTGTCCGGTGCATTTCTTATTGAACTCATTGAAGGCCTGACACTTATTAACCTATTAACAGAGAGCAGACCTGATCCCCTTCCAATCTTTTCCCATCTTCAACACATGTCACCCGGTGTAATATTGCTTTATAAAGGCAATTTATAGGGTGTTCACGCTCTAAGATAAACACTGACACCCATAAACACATCACCAGGAGCGGACTGAGCATTTGGAAACTCGGGCAGTGCCCGAGGGCCCGGGGTCAGTAGGGGGCCCCATGAGATGCCCCTGGTACCTTTTTCATAGGCTTTTTTGAGTTTGGGCAAGGATACAGGGGCCCCATGATCCCCTATTGCCCGGCGGCCCCATGAGTTGTCAGTCCGCCCCTGCACATCACTCTCAATAATTACCTTGTATTTGCAATTTTATTTCAGCTCGTAAATATTAGAAACTTATTTTCACAAGCTAACAGAAAAGAAAAATAGAGGTGTTACCAGTCATGACCAAACCCATCAGTTCTCTGCTGAGCGCAGAAATAAAGATCAAGAGTTGTGTATTTGTGATGGTCTCCTTGGAATGATTGAGGGACATGGGGAGACTCTGATTAAAAAGAGGTTTAGAGACCCAAGTGATGGAGAAAAAAGACGGCAGATTGGGTCAGAGACTGCAGGTGCGTGGACAATGTACCAAATTGTTGCCTGGTGCAGTCTACTTTCTCCACTGCAGGTGGCGCTCAACCACAGTGTCATTGCAGAGGGAGAGGAAGTCAGAATGAACATGGTTCCTCTATGGCAGGGGTATTGAATTAAAATTCAAGGGGGTCAGGTCACTAACATTTTCTTATGGCCAAGGGTGTGCCGATCAGTGTGCCCCCTTACATTAGGTGTCGCCATCAGAGTGAAACTTTACATCATGTATTCCTATCACATCAGGTGTGTCCATCAGAGAGATCCTTTACATCAGTTGTCCCCATCAGAGTGCCCCTTTACATCAGATGTCCCCATCAGAGTGCCCCTTTGCATCACTTGTCCCCATCAGAGTGCCCCTTTACATCAGGTATCCCCATCACATCAGGTATCCCCATCACATTGCTACCTTACATCAGGTATTCCCGTCAGAGTGCCCCCTTACACTCAAAGTACCCCTTTCTATCATATTTCCCCATCAGAGTGCCTCTTTACATCATATTCCCCATCAGAGTACCCCTTTCCATCACATGTGCTCATCAGAATGCCCCATTCCACAGTATGTGCCCATTTGTGCCCCCTTAACATAAAATAAGGGGCACTCTGATGGATACATTTATATTAAGGGGCACTCTGATGGAATCATGTTATATTAAGGGGCACTCTGATGGATACATTTATATTAAGGGGCACTCTGATGGATACATGTTATATTAAGGGGCACTCTGATGGAATCATGTTATATTAAGGGGCACTCTGATGGATACATTTATATTAAGGGGCACTCTGATGGAATCATGTTATATTAAGGGGCACTCTGATGGGCACATTTATATTAAGAGGCACTCTGATGGGCACATTTATATTAAGGGGCACTCTGATGGGCAGATTTATATTAAGGGGCACTCTGATGGGCAGATTTATATTAAGGGGCACTCTGATGGATACATTTATATTAAGGGGCACTCTGAGGGCCACATTCTATGTTAAGGGGCACTCTGATGGGCTCATTTATATTAAGACTACACCCTACCTTGAGGGCATACAGGAGCTGTGCCGGGATCCTTGCTGGATGCTTATGTACAGGCAGGGAGCGGGAGCCGGAGAAACAGTGGGCTGAAAGAGGTGAGGTGCACACGTGATGTCATGTTGCCATGACAACTGCCCTGCTCAGCGGCGGATCTGTCATTGCGGGCTGGCGGTCCAGGCGGCAGCGCTGCTGGGGCCGTTTGTGAACCGCGGTCCGCCATTTAGTGACTGCTGCTCTATGGTTTCCTGGGTCACTGGGGAAGCTATCCAGTTGGATGCTTCCCCCCCATGTGAATCTGGTGTCCATCTTGGGTCAGGCAGAGTCTACTGAAAACCCTGGCTCCCAGGTTCTATGTATGAAGATAAAAAAACCTTCCCAATACTCACCTAAGCCCCTCTTGATCCAGCCATGTGCACTGGAGACTCGGCTTTCCCGGGACTCCCTCTTCTCATTGTCTGGGACAGAAGCGGGTGCCATTGGCTCTCACATCTGTCAATCACAGCCAGTGAGCCAATGAGAAGAAAAATGGGGTGGGGCCGAGTCGCGGCTCCACGTGTGAATGGACACACAGAGCAGCTGGTGCCCCCATAGCAAGCTGCTTGCTGTGTGGGGAACTCAACAGGAGGGAGGGGCCAGGAGAGCCTGCGGGGGACCCGAGAAGAGGAGGATCCGGGTTGCTCTGTGCAAAACCACCGCACAGCAGATAAGTATAGGCATGTTTGTTATTTTTTCTTAAAAAAAAAAATAAGCCTTTAGAATCAATTTAATCGCATAAGGACCGCCCACAGTGGATTTACTGCTGCAGGGTGGCCCCTGTGCACAAAATCACACATATATATATATATATACATGATTCTGAATTTCCGGGTAGGGGGCGCGCACGAGGCGCACAACTGCCCTACCTGCGCTGTTGGTTGTGGCCCCGGGTGTAAATCACCGGGTCCCGGCCAATGATTACCAGCTGGTGCCTGGTGATTACCAGTGACCACCGACATGGAGAAGGGCTGCATTGTTTTCCTACAGCCCTCCTCCCTGTCAGTTTGGGCACACTGCTTGGGATGGCTGAGCAGAGCCATACTGATCAGTGTGCTTACAGTGAAGCAACCCCCCCCCGCCCCTAGTAAAACACTCCCATCACACAGTTAACCCTTTGATCACCCCACATATTAACCCCTTCCTGCCCAGTTGCATTAGTACAGTGTCAGCGCTTATGTTAGCATTGATCATCGTATTGGTGTCACTGGGGATGTCAGTGACACAGTCAGTCCCCCCCAGTGTCAGAATGCCCGCCGCAGTCCCGCTATAAGTCGCTGATCGACGCCATTACTAGTATTAACAAAAAAAAATGTCCAGTATCTATAACGCCATATGTAAATGCTATAACTTTCATGTAAACCAATTAATTTACATGTATTGGGATTTTTTTTTAACAAAGACACGGAGCAGAATACATTTTGGCTGAAATTTATGACGAAATTTGACATTTTTGAAATTTTTTTACTGGATATATTTAATAGCAAAAAGTCCAAAATATTGTTTTTTTTTCTCAAAATTGTCAGTCTTTTTTTTTTTTTATAGCGCAAAAAATAACAAAAACGCACAGGTGATCAAATATCACCAAAAGAAAGCTCTATTCATGGGGAAAAAAGGAAGTAAATTTCATTTGGGTGCAGAGTTGCATGACCGCGCAATTGTCAGTTAAGGTAACGCAGTGCCGTAACCAGGGGGCGGACTGACCAATCAGGCACTGCCCGAGGGTCCAGGGTCAGTAGGGGGCCCCATGAGATGCCCCTGGTACCTTTTCATAGGCTTTATTGGGTGTGGTTTGAGTGTGGGTGAGGACACGGGCCCCATGATCCCCGATTGCCCGGGGGCCCCATGAGTTGTCAGTTCGCCCCTGGACGTAACGCAAACCGCTTCTTTAATATTGCTGGAGTGTCCCAAGGATTCCCTGTACCCATACAAGGCCAGGTTTCCAATAAAGCATCAGAAAAGGATACCCCTTGACCAGGGGCGGACTGACAACTCATGGGGCCCCCGGGCAATAGGGGATCATGGGGCCCCTGTGTCCTTGCCTAAACTCAAAAAAGCCTATGAAAAAGGTACCAGGGGCATCTTATGGGGCCCCCTACTGACCCCAGGCCCTTGGGCAGTGCCCGAGTTTCCAAATGGTCAGTCAGCCCCTGCCCTTGACAACTCATTGAGCCAGAAGAGTGTGTGCTTGGCTGCCAGTCAGTGGCTTCCTGAGGCAGGTGCGGGGGGGTGCGCGCCGCACCGGGTGACACCGACCGCATGGGGTAGCACTGGACCCGCTCCACAAAAAGGTAAGTTGTGAAGCAAGCAGACAATCCCGGCAGAATGGATGGGATCTGCGGATTGGGAGCATAATGGATCGGATCCATCCTGCGGGGATCGTCGGCTTTCTTTACAACTTACCTTTTCGTGGAAATGTCCGGTGTCACCCCGTATAGGTTGCATGCCGACGATCCCCGCAGGATGGATAGGATCTGCAGATTGGGGAGCAGATCCATGATGCTCAATCCACAGATCCGATCCATTCTGCGGGGATCGTCGGAGGGGGTGTCACCAAGTGTTACCGCACCGGGTGACACAAACCCTAGGGACGCCCCTGCCGCCAGTGCACCTATTTGGGGGAAGGAACCTTGGGACCAATCAGTGGGCCCCTTCAGGGGTGAGTCCTACACAGGGGTGGACTGACCATTTGGAAACTCGGGCACTGCCCGAGGGCCCAGTGTCAGTAGGGGGCCCCATGAGATGCCCCTGGTACCTTTTTCATAGGCTTTTTTGAGTTTGGGCAAGGACACAGGGGCCCCATGATCCCCTATTGCCCGGGGGCCCCATGAGTTGTCAGTCTGCCCCTGGTCCTACATACAGTGTATATCTCTGGATGGTCTGGGAAGAGTTCGGAATACCCAAGAACTATATTCAGCATGTGTTGGGGGACGGGACGTGCGGACTGATCGCTCAGTATGTGACCCCTATGTACTATTCCCACAGAAATGAATAACATGATAATAAATGACAAAAGTGTTCTCTTGGGATTCAGAATTATACATAGAGAACAAAGCAAAGACAGGAATACTATAGTGATAGAAGTGCAATAGATGCACATAGAACGGAGAGAGACACCGCCGTCTTTTTCCTGTGTAGCGTGTGCGTTTCGCCTGCGATGCTTCCTGCAGACCATCCTGTCTGGCGTTTGATGAATCGGAGTGTTGGCAGCCGTTGTGAGCTCCCCTGCAGGCCTTCTCTCCTACTTCAATCAGTGCCGCGCAACACGCACGCACACCTTCCACGCAGGAACCGCCGCAATCACAACAAACAGCGCTTTAAGTATATCTAACGCAACATTTTTTTATTTTGGAGTGAAGAGGGGTGAGACATCATCTGCCAGGCTTGTATTTCCAGCTCTGTCCCTATTAAGGAGCGTCACTCTCTCTGTGTTGGAAAATGGAATGAAACCAGCTCCTGCTGTAATTTTCATCTTTCAATTGAGAACTTTTTACACGCAGTAATTTTTTTTTTTGCCACTAGATGTCCTCAATCTAATGGCCGGCATCATTTGATCTACTTTCTCTGAGCCCAGGTCATATTTATTTATTATTATTATTTATTTCAGGTACTTTTATAGCGCCATCAATTCACGCAGTGCTTTACACATATACCGTATTTTCCGGCGTATAAGACGACTGGGCGTATAAGACGACCCCCTACTTTTCCTGTTTAAAATGTAGTGTTTGGGCTATACTCGCTCGCCGTATAAGACTACCCCTCTTCCAGTGCACACCAGTGGGAAGAATCATGCCCCATTATTGGTGTCAGTGGGAGGAATAGTGCCCCATCATTGGTGTCAGTGGGAGGAATAGTGCCCATCATTGGTGTCAGTGGGAGGAATAGTGCCCCATCATTGGTGTCAGTGGGAGGAATAGTGCCCCATCATTGGTGTCAGTGGGAGGAATAGTGCCCCATCATTAGTATCAGTGGGAGGAATAGTGCCCCATCATTGGTATTAGTGGGAGGAATAGTGTCCCATCATTGGTATCAGTGGGAGGAATAGTGTCCCATCATTGGTGTCAGTGGGAGGAATAGTGTCCCATCATTGGTATCAGTGGGAGGAATAGTGCCCCATCATTGGTATTAGTGGGAGGAATAGTGCCCCATCATTGGTATCAGTGGGAGGAATAGTGCCCCATCATTGGTGTCAGTGGGAGGAATAGTGCCCCATCATTGGTATCAGTGTGGAGGAATAGCACCCCATCATTAGTGTCAGTGGCAGGAATAGCGCCCCATCATTGGTATCAGTGGGAGGAATAGTGCCCCATCATTGGTATCAGTGGGAGGAATAGTGCCCCATTATTAGTATCATTGGGGGGAATAGCACCCCATCATTGGTGTCAGTGGATTAGTGCCCCATCTTTGGTGTCAGTGGGGGGGGGGGAATAATGCCCCATCGTTTGGTGTCAGTGGGAGGGGAGTAATAGTATCCCATCATTTGTGTCAGTGGGGGGTGGAATAGTGCCCCATCATTGGTGTCAGTGGGGGGTGGAATAGTGCCCCATCATTGGTGTCAGTGGGGGGGGGGGAATAGTGCCCAATCGTTGCTGTCAGTGGGGGGGGGGAGGAAATAGTGCCCCATCGTTGGTGTCAGTGGGGGGGAGGAAAAGTGCCCCATCGTTGTTGTCAGTGGGAGGAATAATGCCCCATCATTGATATCAGTGACACCAACGATGGGGCACTATTCCTCCCACTGACACTTGCTGACCCCTGCTCCAGTACGGTGCTGCTGCAGCCAGCATATGTGGTTGCAGCAGCACCTAAGCACGGCACACTTACCTGCATCTCCACTCGATTTTCGCGGGGCCGCTCAGCTCGCCTCCTCCTCGCTGGTGATTGGCCGCCTGTGTGCCTTTCCTGAGCTACAGTTCTGGCGGCCAATCACCGGGTGAGGAGGCGAAGCCGAGCAGCCACGCGAACATCCAGTGGACGAACCGAAGGAAGGAGCAGCCGCGCTTCCTGGACTGGATCGTCGTGGGACCGGAGCCAGGTAAGAGACAGCAGCCCACCCCTGTACTTAGTTTCCCTTCTGTTGGAGGGGGGGGGGCGGCAGCACCGCAACGCCCCCCTAAAAAGTTTCAGCATGCCGTTACCGGCGTATAAGACGACCCCCGACTTTTGAGAAGATTTTCAAGGGGTAAAAAGTCGTCTTATACGCCGGAAAATATATTGTACGTCTGGGAAGAGTTCGGAATACCCCAAAAATAGCTGCAGCATGTATGTGTATGTATGAATGTGAGTTAGAGACCTGCCCTCAAGGGGTGTACAATCTAAGGTCCCTAACCCTCAAGGGGCGTACAATCTAAGGTCCCTAACTCACATTCATACATACACATACTAGGGACAATTTAGACAGGAGACAATTCACCTACCAGCATGTCTTTGGAGTGTGGGAGGAAACCAGAGTACCCGGAGGAAACCCACGCAGGCACAGGTAGTGCCGTGGGTGGGATTTGAACCAATGACCCTAGTGCTGCCAGGCGGAAGTGCTAATCTGTATTGAACCTGCCTCAGCCTGGGCTTGGACAGTGAAAGAAGAAAGCAGTGCATTGATGACATAATTTCTCTGTCACTCTGCTCTCTTCTCCTATCAGCATGCTTCTTGTCAGTGCATGAACTGATTGGCTTCTTTTTTGCTCCTTTTTCCTCTCACACGCCAGCCCTGCTGTACAGGGCCTGCAAGAGGCTGATACCAGGTCAAATTCAGGTACTTACACTACTTGTATGCAGCCCCCCAGCCTCCTTTATACTTACCTGAGCCTGATCTCGATCCAGTAATGTGCATGAGAGCAGCAGCTCTCGGCTCTCTCTCTCTTTTTATTCTTTTCGTATTGGGCAGAAAGACAATGGCTTGTGCTGCTGTTAATCCATCACAGCCAGTGAGGAAAGAGGGGGGGAGGTATGACATGTTTGTTATTTTTTAATAAATAACTTTTTTGCCTTTGCAATCACTTTTATTTGTATATTTTTATCAATGCCTTGAGTTATGAGTTGAACAGGGGCGGACTGACCATATGGGTACTCGGGCAATGCCCGAGGGCCCGGGGTCAGTAGGGGGCCCCATGAGATGCCCCTAGTACCTTTCATAGGCTTTTTTAGGTGTGGTTTGAGTGTGGGTGAGGACACAGGGGCCCCATGATCCCCTGTTGCCCGGGGACCCCATGAGTTATCAGTCCGCCCCTGGAGTTGAACTTTAATTTTGAGTTGCCACCGGAAAAGAAATAGATTGGAAATCGTCCAATGGGGACCTGTTCCAGTGACGAGGGCATCTTCCCCACCTTGTAGAGATTTCCTTTTATTTCCTAGCGTGTCTAGAGGGCAGGAAATGAAGGGAAATCTCCCCAATCGGACACAGAATGAAAATAAAAACTAATCTAATGTTGGGTTTAACCCACCTCTAACCACTTCCTTACCGCGCTATAGCCGAATGACGACTACAGTGCGGTCATCCAGTTCTGGGAGACATCATATAATGTCCTCCCAGAACGCTCCCCCTGCGCACCCCCAGCGGCGTGCAACCCGGCGCTGTCTGTGATCGTTGTGTCCTTTGGAGACATAGTAAAAGTCCAATCACAGAGGCTTTTACCACATGATCAGCTGTGTCCCATCACAGCGACCTTTTTACCACGTGATCAGCTGTGTCCCTTCATAGCAGCTTTTACCACGTGATCAACTGTGTCCCATCACAGCGGCCTTTTTACCACGTGATCAGCTGTGTCCAATCACAGCGGCCTTTTTACCACGTCATCAGCTGTGTCCAATCACAGCGGCCTTTTTACCACGTCATCAGCTGTGTCCAATCACAGCGGCCTTTTTACCACGTGATCAGCTGTGTCCCTTCACAGCGGCCTTTTTACCACGTGATCAGCTGTGTCCAATCACAGCGGCCTTTTTACCACGTGATCAGCTGTGTCCAATCACAGCGGCCTTTTTACCACGTGATCAGCTGTGTCCAATTACAGCGGCCTTTTTACCACGTGATCAGCTGTGTCCAATTACAGCGGCCTTTTTACCACATGATCACCTGTGTCCCATCACAACTGATCACCATGTAAATACACTTGCTGGTTATTGGCAATACTTTCGTTAGGCTGTCACAGTGTAAGGAAAGTACTGCCAATATCCGGCAACTGTCAAAGGAGACATTTGCACCTATAATCAGGGCACTGATCATTGCAGTCCCAAAAGTGCCCATCAGTGCCCAACAGTGTTGCTCATCAGTGCCCAGCAGTGCTGCCCATCAGTGCCTGTCAGTGGTGCCAGTCAGTGCCACCTGTCAGTGCTGTCAGTCAGTGCTGTCAGGGCACTGATTATCATTGCAGTCCCAAAAGTGCTCATCAGTGCCCAACAGTGCTGCCCATCAGTGCTCAACAGTGTTGCCCATTAGTGCCCTTCAGTGCTACCTATTAGTGCCCATCAGTGCAGCCTATCAGTGCCCATCAGTGCCGCATATCTATGCAGCATCATCAGTGCCTCCTCATCAATTTCCACCAGTGCCACCTCATCAGTGTTGCCTATCAGTGCAGCCTATCAGTGCCGCATATCTGTACAGCATCATCAGTGCCTCCTCATCAATACCCACCAGTGCCACTTCATCAGTGCTGCCTATCAGTGCAGCCTATCAGTGCCGCATATCTGTACAGCATCATCAGTGCCTCATCATCAATTTCTACCAGTGCCACCTCATCAGTGCTGCCTATCAGTGCAGCCTCATTAGTGCTGCCTATCAGTGCAGCCTCATCAACGCACATCAGTGAAGGAGAAAAAGTACCTGTTTGCACAATTTTATAATAGAAACAAAGAAAACCTTTTTTTTTTTTTTTTTTTTCAGAATTTTTGCTCTTTTTTTGTTTATAGTGCAAAAAATAAAAACCCCAGCAGTGATTATATACCACCAAAAGAACGCTCTATTTGTGTGAAAAAAAAATGATAAACATTTCAAATGGGTACAGTGTTGCATGACCGCACAATTGTCATTCAATAAAGAATGCTCATAACCAGCAGCTGTCACAGAGCAGTAGTGCCGCCCATCAGTGCCTCCTCATCAGTGCAGCCTATCAGTGCAGCCTCATCAACGCACATCAGTGAAGCAGAAAAATTACCTGTTTGCAAAATGTTATAATGGAAACAGAAACTTTTATTTTTCAGATTTTTTTTGCTTTTTTTTTGTTTATAGTGCAAAAAATAAAACACCCAGTTGTGATTAAATACCACCAAAAGAAAGCTCTATTTGTGTGGAAAAAAAAAATGATAAAAATGTCATATGGCTGCAATGTTGCATGACCGCGCAATTGTCATTCAAAGTGCGACAGCGCTGAAAGCTGAACATTTTCCTGGGCAGGAAGGCGGTAGAAGTGCTCGATAGGCGAGGGGTTAAAAAAGAAACAAACGCTTTATACAGATTTTGATTGAGGACTCTGCTAAGCACTGCTTACATAAAACTATCAATATTTCTAGGACATATTTGGAAAAATTGCTTTTAAAAATGAGTGTCGTACTTGTAAAGCAGCAAGTGATGGATTTGGCGCGGTTATAAAGTACATTCGCTGTCCGTGACCGCCAACGTGGGCGCCGGGTGATACATTCAGGTGTCAGCACTGTGTTCAGTGAATGTGGCCAATGGTAAAGACTCGTCAGTTCCGCACTCTAACAAGAATAGAATTGAAAGGCTTCTCATCGAGAGCCAACACGTCTTGCAGCGCTCTCAGTGGCAGCGCTCTCAGTGGCAGCGCTCTCAGTGGCAGCGCTCTCAGTGACAGCGCAGGGATGCCGAGTGATCCTGGATGGAAGTCAGAGCGCTCATCTGCCGCCATATTGGACGTGTTCATAGAAAAGTCGCAGGTTGTTTTCTAGCTGCTAAATGTAAGTGCTGCGCAGGGGCGGACTGACCATTTGGAAACTCGGGCACTGCCTGAGGGCCCGGGGTCAGTAGGGGGCCCCATGAGATGCCCCTGGTACCTTTTTTCATAGGCGTTTTTGAGTTGGGCAAGGACGCAGGGGCCCCATGATCCCCTATTGCCTGGGGGCCCCGTGAGTTGTCAGTCCGCCCCTGGTGCAGCGTGTTACGTTTACCAGAATACAGAGTATATTTGATGCTGAGCCAGATCTGAGCGCTCTCTTCTGTTCTTTACTCCAGGACAGGGGTCCCCAGCCTGTTCAGTGCAGGGGCCACACTCTATTCTGTACAGATATTCCCACGCGGGGGAAAAAAAATCAGTTTTATAAATAAATGATTCAAATTTAAATGAATGAATAAATAGCGTCAGAAGTTCCCCCTTTCACAGCAGGAGCCCCCCCATTACATCAGAGTCTCCCCCTTCATCAGAGTCCCCTTTTTTCATCACAAACCCCCACATCACCTTAGAGTCCCGTCCCCCCCGTTAACATTAGCGTTGCACTTTCACATCATATCAGAGTCCCCCCTTTCACATCAGGAATCTCTCCATCACATGAGAGTCCCCCCCCCCCATCAGAGCCCCCAGTTCACATAAGAGCCCCCTTTCACATCAGAGTCTCCTTTTCACATCAAATGTCCCCCTTTAACATCAAAAGCCCCCATCACATCAAAATCTCCTTTTCCCATCAGATGTCCCCCATCCTCCCATTAGATCCCCCCATCACATCAAATCACTGCCCCCCTTTCACATCAGATGTCTCCCTCCAACACATCAGAACACCTTATCACATCAGAGCCTCCAATTCCCATCAGAGCCCCCCTTCACATCGGAGTCTCCTTTTCACATCAACATTCCCCTTTCATATCAGAGCCCCCCCCCCCCTTCACGTCAGAGCCCCCTCTTCACATCAGAGCACCCCCTTCACATCAGAGCCTTCCCCTTCACATCAGAGCCCACCCCCCTTCACATCTGTGCTCCCTTCACATAAGAGCCTCCTTTTCATATCAACATACCCCCATCACATTAGAGCCCCCCTTCACATCAGAGCCCCCCTTCACATCAGAGCTCCCTTTCACAAAAAAGTTTCTTTTTCACATCAGAAGACCCCCATCCTCTAATTAGATCCCCCTATGACATCACATCAGTGCCCCTTCACATCAGAGTCTCCTTTTCACATCAAATGTCCCCCTTTAACATCAAAAGCCCCTCGTCACATCACAATCTCCTTTTCCCATCAGAAGTCCCCCATCCTCCCATTACATCTCCCCCCCATCACATCAAATCATTACCCCCTTTCACATCAGAAGTCTCCCTCCAACACATCAGAACCCCCTCTCACATCAGAGCCTCCAATTCCCATCAGAGCCACCCTTCACATCAGAGTCTCCTTTTCACATCAACATCCCCCTTTCACATCAGAGACCCCCGCTTCACATTAGAGCCCCCTTCACATCAGAGCCCCCCAGAGCCTCCCTTCACATAGGAGTCTCTTTTTCACATCTACATCCCTCTCACATCAGAAGACCCCCATCCTCCCATTAGATCCCCTTATGACATCACAGCAGTGCCCCCCTTCACATCAGAGTCTCCTTTTCACATCAACATTCCCCTTTCACATCAGAGCCCCCCCACCTTCACATCAGAGCCCCCCCCTTCACATAGGAGTCTCTTTTTCACATCAACGTCCCCCTTTCAAATCAGAAGACCCCCATTCTCCCATTAGATCCCCTCATGACTTCACATCAGTGCCCCCCTTCACATCAGAGCTCCCCTTCACATCGGAGTCTCCTTCACATCAGAGCCCCCCCCCCCTTTACATCAGAGCTCCCCTTCACATTGAAGTCTCCTTTTCACATCAACATCCCCCTTCCACATCAGAATCCCCTTTTAGCATCAGAATTCCCCTTTCACATCAGAAGACCCCCATACTGCCATTAGATTCCCCTATGACATCACATCAGTGCCCCATTCATATCACAGTCCCCATATCACATCAGCAGAAGCCCCCCCCCCCTCCCTCATCACATAAGAGCCCTCCTCCCTTTCCATCAGAGTCCCCCTTTACCATCAGAAGGCTTCAACACATCAGAGTTGCTGTGTGCTGGGTAAATCCTGTTGCGGACTCGATGTGGCCTGCAGGCCATAGTTTGGAGCCTCCAATGATTACCATTGTTGCAGCAATTATTTAAAAACTCATGTCATAAATACTGCTGAGAACTACTCAAAACCTCAGTATGGGACTCTCTTTTTGTTATCTAACAGAGTATTTATTAGCACTGAAATGGACATAAAGGGGTTGATTTACTAAAACTGGAGAGTGCAAAATCTGATGCAGCTCTGCATAGAAACCAATCAGCTTCCAGGTTTTTTTTTTGTCAAAGCTTAATTGAACAAGCTGAAGTTAGAAGCTGATTGGCTGCCATGCACAGCTGCACCAGATTTTTCACCCTCCAATTTTAGTAAATCAACCCCACAGTGACAACAAGGACATGCATCTATAGTGTACATAATCAGCCAAGGAACAGATCTCTGCAGTATTCCATACACAGAAGCAGGGGCGGACTGACCATTTGGAAACTCGGGCACTGCCCGAGGGCCTGGGGTCAGTAGGGGGCCCCATGAGATGCCCCTGGTACCTTTTTCATAGGCTTTTTTGAGTTTGGGCAAGGACACAGGGGCCCCATGATCCCCTATTGCCCGGGGCCCCATGAGTTGTCAGTCCGCCCCTGCACAGAAGGAATGTACAGTATTACATAGACATTTGGCAAGTTATCAAATTGATAAAGACAAATGAAATGAACGACATCATCACAGACTGTTTGCAATAATAAGTGCAAAATAATATAGCAAAGCCCATATAATTAGGGTATAATCAGCTGAGAAATTATGAAAATCTAAACAAAAGTGTTGTGTGATGTCTCAAATATAGGAACATTTGGAACTTAGTAACTCTCTTAGACATAACGGATCACAAATCGCTCTTTACTGCCGAGCACGATGCAGGACAGCATGCGCAAAAGGGCGAAAAATCGGTTCCACCATGCCTCTCACAGTCATTAATACGTATGTGCAAGAATGAAAAAAATGGGACTATCTTCTAAAGGTTGGGCACTACTATGATCTTATCAGACTGGAAGACACCCCAGTGTTGTAGCCGAGCCTTCCTTCTGCAGTAAAGCACAGTTTTGGTAGCAGTTCTTTCACACTAGTGAGGAGACAAACATTAACATGGATGTGATGGTGCCGAAAATGTGACTTTATTATTATTCAATATGAAGGAGCTGGGCAGCTCAGGGTGTCTCAGAACTCCTGCTCATTATTGAGGAATGTACATTTATAACAGCTCCTGCTCCCTTCCCACAGCGATCGACAAAAATTCGCTCACCCTCAGGAGCACCTGCAGCAGCCTCTCCGCAACTCACTGGGCTCTATAGAACATGAGCTGCAACCAAACCCAATTCAATATGTCTGCAATAAAAAAAATATAGACTCAGAGTCATTATGAAGAGATGGAGGGAGGGATGGATGTTTAGATAGATAGATAGATAGATAGATAGACAGATAGATAGAAAGATATGAATAGATAGATAGATAGATAGATAGATAGATAGATAGACAGATAGATAGAAAGATATGAATAGATAGATAGATAGATGGATAGATAGATAGATAGATAGATAGATAGATAGATAGATAGATAGATAGATAGATAGATATGAATATATAGATATGTAGCAGGCTCCTTGTACAAGAGGATTCAGAAGTCAGTCCTTCCTCTCCCTCCCCTATTTGTAAAACCTGGGCATTCTGCCAAGTTCATGGCTCATCCACTACACAGCAAAGAACGCTGGGAAAGGGAGGGAAGCAGAAAGTGAAGGGGAGAACGGAGAGACATGAGGCTGGAGAAAAGACAGGGACACGTGGAGCCCGTCCAAGCAGAGGAGGAGGCACTACAGCACCCAGCGCGATAGAGGGACCCTGCTGTGTGTTCAGAGTCTGGTGAGCTGTCCCCCTGGAGAGAGTAAGACACACCATTTACACTTTGCATATAGACTGGGACATCCGCACCCCACTGCTGGGATCGCACCCATCCGGGGCCCTGTGCAAGCCACAGATCCCCTACCTGCTTTGCCCCTCACCACCAGTGTAATTGAGACTGTCTGCCCCGGGGACTGACACATACTGGGAGATTGCATCCTGCGACTGCCCCTGGTCTTGGGGTGCTTTGTGTTGCGTTTAGACACTGAGGTTGGACCCTCTCAGCCCAGAAACCTAGTGAAATCTGATGTAACCCACACCAGCTGAAACTCCAAAGAAGCCTTCAGCTGCTATTTACTTCATTGTAAGGACTAAACGTGCACCAACTAGAGCTCCACCGTTACAAGGACTGAAGTGGGGGAATCTGGCTTAGTAGCCTTATTAAGAGTACCTCTTTATTGCATTCTGTTCTGACTCTGAGGTGATTTTTGGCTAACGCCCCTCAGAAGCAGAATCATACACCGGTGTGGGTAATACATTTCATTGATAGAGTATAAGTAAGTTTATTTGTTTGATATCAGTTGTATTCTGCTTAAAGTGCGGCTCTGCCATCCGGAGATTTTTGGCTGTGAAGCCCTCTAGTGGCAGACCAAATTTACTGCATTGCATAAAAGAAGAAAAGTAAGTTTGGAAGTTGAAAGGGGAACCCACCCCTCTACACTGCATTTCATTCTCCATAAAATTGTTCTTGTTTCGTTTAGCCCTGTGTCAGCAAATTTCTTGGCGGGGTATTTGCTATTCATTACCAGTTGTGCCAGAGGGATTGGGTTTGCTTAGGGTTGGATCTATTGAGCGCAGGACCCATAATATATTCCAGCTTGTCCCAAGGGGCAGTGCTACACGTGGGGGCTCGTCTGGGATTCTTGCTGCTCAATTACCCAACAACCACTCAAGCAGTGCCCTATACCAACTCCTAAGATGGACGTCGCAGCCGCGACCAAGTGGTGCACCAGGGAAAATGCTTGCCCAGAACAGAGTGTAGTGGTCGAGTTCCCCAGAGAAATGGGGACCGAAGAACAGATTACCAAGATAGTGAATGCACTACCCACAGAGGGAAAGAAAACGTGGGTGATAGATGTGATACCCGCCTCAGACACCACCCTGGCATATGCCTTGCTAGAGTGGAAGAAGGGGATCCCTGACAGTTTCCAAGGAGCCAATATCCAAATAGAGGATGGGACAAGGCTCCAGTTACTTCAGTTGAACACCCCCGGGCCTAGTTGTGCAAAACCTGAGAGGGAAGAACCCCTGTCCCAGACACCTCTAGCCACCATAGGCCCGGAATTCCTCACTGCATTGGGGGACTTCATGTTAAAATGCCGCAAAGACCCCTCTCCATACACAGGGATGTATCGGAAGCTCCGATTCTTCTCGGGTAGGCAACCAATACCTACCGGGGAGGATGGCTTTGAAGAGTGGCTAGACCAAGCCATGCAAGCACTAAATGAATGGGACATTCCTGAGGCCCACAAGAAACAGAGGATTACGGAGAGCCTAAGGGGCCCTGCATTGGAGGCCATTCGCAACCTAAAACTTAGCAAACAGGATTGCACTGCTCAGGACTATCTAGATATTTTACAAGATGTATTTGGGCGTACTGAAAAGGCTTCAGACCTCATCTATCAGCTAGAGCATACCTACCAAAATGAAGGGGAGAAACTCTCCAGTTACATGGGACGTCTAGACAAGATAATATACCAAATTCTGCTAAAAAGGGGAATAGGCCCTGAAAGAGTAGATGAGGTTCGGGCTCAACAAGTCCTACGGGGAGCCAGGCCCCTAGACCCCATTGCTATTCTATTACAAACTCGGCGAGATGGTGGCCTCCTGAACTATCCAGACTTGATCCGGACTGTGAGAGAGGAGGAAGCCATGTTGGATGACAAAGAGAGACAGTCAGACTCTGTTGTAGGGGTCCGGGTAGTCAATGTGGGAGGTGACACCCCTGAAGTTGAACTCCTTAAGACTCAGGTGTCCCAACTAATGGAGATGGTGACCATACTAATGGCGGGACCGTCGGGTTTAGCAAGAGAGACGAGAGCAGTTTCTGAAAACCTGTCAGGAGTTGCCCCAACGCAAGCAACTAGTCCCACCATTCAAATGACCTGCTTTAATTGTGGAGGGACCGGACATGTCAGGAGAGTCTGTCCGAGCCCCAGGAAGCCTGAAGCTAAGCGCCAAAAACCGGCGGAAAACTTCAGAGGGCCCTGGTGAAGGAGCAACCCAGGGACCCCACCACCGTAGCTAGCTCCACTCAACCAAGTAAAAGGGGGGCGAGGAGAAAATCTGGTCCTATCCAGAAGGACCCCAACATCCCTTACAAACAGCCTAGGGAAAATGCCACTTCACCTCAGGGAGTCAGTGCACACCTCAAACCTGGGAGTCAACCACAGCTTAGGCCGAGCCAAAACTCCCCCAGAAGGGGAGTAAGGATAAGAACTGCAGAACAGAAGAAGACGACTACCTGTTCACCACTCCCTGAGAATTTAGCGGGACTCTCCCCTGTCATCCCGATTCAGGTAGAAGGGGATTTATACCAGGGCTCTTCTGGACATTGGAGCCCAAGTAACCCTTCTGTACCGAGACTTCTATGACAAGCATCTGAAGCATTTGCCCTTGCAGAAGCTGGAAGATCTGGAAATATGGGGCATAGGAACCCAGATGTTTCCCTATGATGGTTACCTATCGGTCAGACTAACTTTTGATCCTTCCATGACAGGGAAGGCTGAGACTTTCGAAGCCTTAGCTGTCATCTGTCCCCGGCCG